AGATCTCCTGACATCAAGCTGATGTCCGTCTCTGACCGTTGCCTTCTGTTGGCCAACTGCCACCTACAGGATGACCATAAGGCCGGCAAGGGAATGTGAAAACTAATGTGAAACTTTTAATCCCAGAATACAGTGAGGAATTCAAAAGGAATTACACAGGTTGGAAAACTGTGAAAGCTCTCTTTTAGCCTCCAGTAGATTAGTGGGAAACTGTCAAGGGGAACATCAAGAGATCCTTCATTCTCAAAGGTGTTCAGAAGGCAGAAAGGACAAGGAAATTGGTCCAGGCTACAGAAGAGCAGGACAAGATGTGCTCATGTTCTTTCTTCCAGTAGGTACACAAGGATTTAAGTAGCCTGAAGAAAGAAGATAGTTTGCTAATGTCATCTCAGTCTGACATTTTGAGGAACAACTATAAGGTGATTTCTGCTCTGTAAGAGCTACCTAGCTAGTTGCATTCCCTTGCCTTCTCCCCTTAGCCATGCAATTTTATTTCCCATCCAGTAATTACCCAATTCCCTTTTGAAACTGTCGCAACTATATTTTCAGGCAGTGGATTTCGTTCCTAATCATTCACTGTAGAAAATGCTTTTTTATTCTCCCCCCTCGTGGTGTCTCTGTTTCTTTCATGAATCACCTTCAGTCAATGTTTCCAAATTAATTTTCAGTTTTTCAACATCTCAATTTTTTTTAAACTCCCTTCTGTCATTAGGGAATAAACTGTCTGAGATAATTGTGAATGGGCTGTCTTGCTACTTTTTCCAAGTAATATATCTCAATATATGAACTTAGTCATTGAGTTTCAAACCGCATGTAAGTTTTGCATAAAATTCAAATACAGTATTGGAAGCAACTGTTAGCATTTGATAGCTGAGAAGTATCAGTCTACTATACCTCTGAAAAATGCTCTAAACCATGACTTTATTGTTTTAGTTTCTCCTTCACACACTTTGTTGGATTATTTATTGCCACTCTCTACAACCTCAACGTATTCAGAATGCTAAATCTTCAGTTTTCATCCATGTAAAGTCCTGTACTCCAATTGATACTAAGCTTAACTCACTTTGTACAAATTGATTTGAACATCCCATCCTTGTGATCAAATTTAAGCTGATCTAAATTGCCTTCCTTTGTTGCTTAACTCTTTCCAGATCCTGCTTGACCTTTCTTTCTCCAAATCAATCGCTCCTTGTTTCGCATTTTATCCATGTGGCCGTGAGTTGCCCCGCCTGCTTTGCCATTTTCAGATGTCTAATTTGTTGAACAAGTTCTTCAAAATAGTTTTCTTGTATCATTTCCCTCCCACTTAGTGAGCACTTTCTTCTCCTTGCTTTGTAAGAATTTTATAAGTTTATTTAAGATTGACTGTCATTCTTCTAAACTCTGGAGAATAAAGGCTCAAATTCAATCATTCCTCATAGTACAGTCCCAAAGTATAATGGCTTCAGTCTATTAAGTGTACTGTAGAACAGTTTGAGCAACCGATTTATTATAATTTTCCATTTATGGGAACTGATTTATTATTCCATTAATACAGTAATCTAGATAAAGGGAATGAAATTTATTGACTTTAAAGACTTTTATTTGTTAAATTTAACTATGTGATCATAAATTGATTACCAACATAACCGAGATAAAAGAAATTGATCATTGTGGAAAGGTGGTTAGTGATGTAATTGGACATAATAGGGTAGGATACTGAGGACTTTATGGAGGATGATGAAGGGGATCCAAAGTTAGAAGTTTCTTTATTCCTAATCCTCCTCCTCCATCATTTGCTACCTCCCCAGGTTTCTGTTATGTGATCATTTTGTTAAAATAAATGGACCTTTTCTGAATGAAAGCCTAGAATTTTGCCATTTGGTACATGGCAAATCAGTAAACCATTTCATTGTCCATTATAAACAAAAAAAGTCTTGTTTTGATGCCTGAATGCCAGTATTAATCATACAAGGATACTTTGTCCCTGAGCTTTCTCAACAATTGCCTTATTCTTAATTTGGTCTGTTATGGCTTACTATTTACATTTAGTAACCATAAAATATACAGCTATATTGAAAAAACAGAAATTGAATTTTAAAAATATTAATATGCAACAGATGTCACACTGTGGTGTGCTGTAGTGCATTGTAGCATGGATTAGTAGCGACAAATTTGAATGAGCTGGGAAATTTTTAAAAAAAAGACTTCAGGGAGGCAGGAAGAAAATCAGTTGAGTACCAGAAAAATAGAAGAAAAATGTAGAAATATTTCTGATTTTTAAGTGCAAAGGACAGAAGACTAACTTACAATTAAGTGTGAGCCTAGTTTTAGTGATTGACCTGCTATATCTTATGCCATTTATTAGGTTCAGACTACCATTATCTATGTTTTATTCTTTTTATTGGTGCAAAGAGCATCACTAAGAAAAATGACTAATCAGAAGAAACCAGTTAGTGAGCAGAGACTGGAGCAAAAGCGAAGACAGTGCATATCTTATGCTTGATTAGCTACATGAAATGTTCTTGATGTACTTTGTTGTACTGGATATAATATTCGTGCAAGAGCAAAATGCTGTGGATGCTAAAAATCTTAAATAAATTAAGATGATGGAAATATGCAGATTTAGGTGTATTGTTGGAGAAAAAACTAATATTTCAATTCATGACCCTTTATCAGAACACGTTTCGTGGTCCTCCTTTTTTTATGATACATAAAGACCAATGTGTAATTCCATGCATCTGCTTTTGTGTAAGCATAAGGATGCTTTAGGTTTCTCTTAAATGCCCAATGTGTGGGAAAGATATAATGCAGCTGTCATTTTTTAGTTAACAGCCAAAGTGACGTGAGCTAAACATGCTGTTATCCATTAAGTATAAGGAACTGCATTAATATGACATTATGTTCCAGATTTTCCAGTCCTAGGTATTTGAAGATGAGGTGTATGACCCAAAATACACATCCCATGGAAATCTTGATTCATTGACTCTGTAGGAATTGCCCAGTTGGTCTGAAATGCTCTTCAGGGCCCTTCAAAATAGGCCTCCATCTCTGGGTTAACAGTCAGACTCACTTACCTGGATATTTACCCATTAAGTGTTAGAAAAATCCTAGTCTAACATCTGGGTAACTATGCAATTTGCCATCATGACCAAGCTGCCTGGCAACCCCCATTTCCTTGCCTGATCTGACAGCCCACCTAACCTGACTAATCAGTTGCCGCCCTACTGACCTGCCCCACTATCTGCTTAACTACCGATATATTCACCTGATCACGTACTCATTCACATCTACACTCATTCTCTAACGCACTGAAAAACTCATTTAAATATCCCAAAACTTTTCAGTGTGTCAGTAAATACTTACCAAAATGCAGCAGCTAGATCCATAAAAAGAGAGTGGGACTTGGTTTCCCCTGGCAATTCAGTGCCACTTGAAAGCAGTGCAATTTAAGGTACACCCTGCATTTCTGCACAGACCAGATTGAAAGATCCGGTGAGAAATTCAGAGCTCAATTGTGGCATAGAAAATAGGAATGAAGTGGCAATCGGATGCTGATTGACACTCCTTGAAAGATTTGGCCCTATAATAAATAGATTCTAGAATGCTTTGTTGACTTCTCATGCTTGAATGAAATTGACACACACAATACCACTGTCCGGAGACTGTGAAAATTGCATTCTTAAGAATGAAAACTAAAGCATAGTGGCTCCATTTATGAGTATTCATAATATTTGTACACTATGGTCATAATTGTGTAATGAGAATACAAATATTTCAATATTATAACTTATCAACCTAGGATATGAAGAGCATTCTAAAGTAGTTCTTGTAAAGTCTAGTAGGAATATATAGGTTATACCACAATGGGAAGCAATTCATCTCATAGTGCTGGCTTTTGAAGGAACTATCCAATTTGATTCTATAGCTCATTTCTTTTCCCTACAATCACGTAAATTAGTCCTTTTCAAGAGCATGTCTAATTGTATAATTAGTTAATAGCCAATATTTCAGCAGAAACGGGAGAAACCAATGTCATGCTGGTTGTCAGGCTTATGGGAGAGGCTTTTGTAAAATTGACATTCTTTATCATGCAGTTATTAATGTGAAATAGAATGTCTTTTGCTAGTTACTCTTTTGATATGAGTCTAACAGTAATTGCTTATTGTCAAAGATATCTCTAAAAGAGAGATCTCTGTTTGGGAAACAAAATAGAATAGTAAAGATCACCAAGCATACACATGATACAGATGAGCATCCTGTTAAAAACTCAAAAGTAATTTTCACCATGAGAATAACAGCCATTAATGGCTGTACGTGGTCTGCACCAGTTATTTTTATGGGATGCCTCTTGTCTCCTGCCTGTGTGTCAAACAAATGGGAATGTGAGCAAAACAATGCTGGAGACAGATTATCTGAAGTTGATTTTGATAATCAGAAATTAATCCTTTCTGACGTTCATGGGAGTAAGGAGCACAGTTGGCCAAATTTCTATTAGAACTCATTAGTGAGACAGCAGAGTAGCTGAATAGTGATCCTTCCAAGATATTTCTTATTTGTATTTCCTTTGGCTCTGCAGTTATGTTTTATAGAAAATGTACATTTTTATGTCCTCCTTATTCAAAATAAGTTGAAAGACTGTATTCATATTGCTATTTCAAAATTGTTAACCAAAATAAACTTTGTTAATATTGTCTGTTTGCATTCATATAGGATAAACATTGCCTTATATAAGTAAGATGAGTAATCCATTCTTCAAACACACAACATCGGTTAATGCTAAAACAAACTAAGTTTTGCTCTCTATTTCTGACACTGTCTGCAAATGCACTACAACTGATAATTAATCAGTTTGGAATGCATTGTCCTTAAGGTCAATGAAGCAAGATAGGAACAGTTAGTTACTTAATGTATTTTTCTCAGTACGTAAATCATAGAAGCTTTAGTAATAAATGGAGTATTTCCATTGAACTGGTTGTATGCTGTTTTACTGATTATTTATACTCCCTATTTAATTATAGTTTGAAAATGAAATCATAACCAAGCTTGATCATGAAGTGGAAGGAGGCAGAGGGGATGAGCAGTACAAAGTGCTATTCGAAAAGATGTAAGTGTTAATTAATGAAAACAATTATCCTGTATTTGAAATAAATAGCATAATAATTATTCTGCAGGATATCTGCCTTTGTTATAAAGGAAAAATGTGAAGACTATATAGCCATCCAAGTACTTTAAATTTGATTTCAATTATTTTTTTTTTCTCTGTGCATGAAACTAATATGCTATTTACTATTTTATCCAGTCTTCTGGAACACTGTAGAAAACACAAGTATCTTGCTAAGACCGGTGAAAATTTTGTCATGCTGGTTGTCAGGCTTATGGAGAGGCTTTTGGATTACAGAACAATTATGCATGATGAAAATAAAGAAAACCGTATGAGTTGTACAGTTAATGTACTGGTAAGTGCTAACTGACTGTTTTTCTGATGGCGATCAACTTCAGGAAAGTACAGTTTACACAGTTGAATCAGTATTTTCTACTTATTGTCCCAAAATGTGTTTGTCAGTCAAAGAGAAGAATAAAGGTTGAATGGCAGATGCCTGCAGTGATCAGATTTTAATCTCTTTTACAAAAATGGGGCAGTATCAGAAAGTGCGTGCACTAATGTTCAGCATACGATATTCTGTAGGGAAATTTGGTGATGGCATTGCCTCACTGTGCTTAAAATTGCTAATTTTAAAGCCTTATTTCTAACTCAATTCCAATACAGCTCCTGTTGGGACTGTTGAATTTACTCACTGTGTTCATCCGAGTATCAATTCCCATTTATATTTATTAATGGTATCTGAGATCATATTTGTCCTGTTTTAGTGTACGTGTTGCAGTTAGCCTTCATTGATGAAACTGATTCAAATGGCCTTTAACAAGAACATAAAATAATGTAATTGTAATAATTTTAAATATTTTGAGGGGAAAATGTGTTGATTACTGTATTTTACAGTATACATTAATATCAGAACAATACTGTTAATTATTAAAGGTGTATCTTTCACAAGTATATGTACAAACATTACACATTCCTCTCCTTTTAAATGACAAGGGATACAGATACAACCTATCCAATGTTCAGTCATAAGAGAACCCTTTCATCCCTGGAATCAGTAGAGTGAACATTCTCTGAACCAAGGGGATGGATTGTGCACAATTTTCCAGACGTGGTCTCATAAATACCCTGTACAACTGTGTCAATGCTTCCTGGCTGTTATACAAATAAGAGTTTCTGGTTGACTTTATAAATGAAAATTTTATTGAACAGCGTTTTGTGGTAGAGTGCCATATTCTGATATGGTTGTAATAAATGGTAATTAATTATATGAAACAGGAAGCAAGGCTGCTTATCACTTGAAGATTTGAGAGATTGTTACAAAAAAGAATGCAGTATTAGAGTTGAATGTTAAACCAGTGGTGAAGGTTTTTCAAAATGAAGACAGGAAAAGGCCTCATAACAGGAACATTCACACTGGGATCCCAGAAAAAAAAATAACTACTACAGTGAGTACCTGATTGTTTCCAAAAAAAAAGACTCAGGCAGCATCTAGAATCAACACAGTCAGAATTTGGAGATGAGAGAACTGTCAACATGTGTTCAAATCACTCAACAAGCATCATCAGCAAACACTTCTTTCCTACAGAGCTATGATCTAAGAAAGAAGGCAGTTCTAGAAGTTAATGCATCTCAGAACAGGCTAGGAACATACAACATGCAGGTTAGCAAACCAGTCTCATCAACATCCAAAAGTCTGTCTCAAAGATAATCCAATTGTTCCAACATGGAGCATGAAGCATGAAGCATTTGCTCTAGCATCTGGTATTGCAGGATTCCATATGTATCTGTTTAGTAAACAGTTCAGAGTGGAAATCAGTCACAAGCCATCTGAAATTATTTGGTGTAACCAGTAACAAGTGTACCACTGAAACTACATGGCTTCTGATCACAGTACTGGGATATGACTTTGGCATATATCGTAAAACTGGTACCAAAATGGCTACACCTCTGGACATGGATAATATTTTCAGCAATTTGGAAGGCAAGTTAGAATAGCCCTGTTCAAATTCTGGAAGATGCAGGGCAAACATCTGAAAATAGCTGGGATGGAACATGTTAAAAATAATAAGGATTACATGTTTTAGCAGGCATAAAGTTGTTGAAGGCCTAATGAGATGTATTCCAGGCTTCTATCGGAGGTAAGAGAGGAGATTACTGCGGCCCTGATGAAGATATTTAATGCTTTGTTGGCCACAAATGAAGTGCCAGATGACTGGAGGATAGCTAATGTGGTTCCTATGTTCAAGAAGTGCAGCAGGCCCAAGCTAGGTAATTATAGACCAGTTAGTCTGACATCAGTGGCGGGAAATTATTGGAAAAATAATGAGGGACAGGATTAATCAATACCTGGAAATGCAGGGATTGATCAGGGATAGTCAGCAGAGATTTATTAGAGGGAGATTCTGCCTGACTAATTAAGTTTTTTGAAAAGATGACTTAATATATTGATGAAGATAGCAGTAAATGTGGTTGACATGCACTTCAGTAAGACTTTTGACAAGATCCTAAGTGGAAGGCTGGTCTAAAAGATAAGAGCCTGTGGGACCCAAGGCAAGTTGGCAAACTGGATCCAAAATTGGCTTGCAAATACAAGGCACCGGGTGATGGTGGGATGTTGTTTTTGTGATTAAAAGCCTCTGATCTGTGTTGTACCATTGCGATTGGTGCTGGGAGCTTGCTGTTTGTATTGTACACAAACAACCTGGATGTGAATGTAGAACGTATAATTAATACATTTGCAGATGATATGAAGATTGGCAGTGGTGTTGATAGTGAGGAGGATGGTTGTAGGCATCAGCCTGATACAGAATTCTTGAAGGTGCCAGCACAGGTAAACAGTATGGTGAAAAAGGCAAATGGGATGCTTGCCTTCATTAGCTGGAATATAGAATATAGGAGCAGGAAAATCTTGCTACAATTTTATGAAACATTGGTTGGACCTCAGATGGAATAACGTGTGCTGTTCTGTTCACCACATTATCAGAAGGATGTGATAGCACTGAAGAGAGTGCAGAGGAGATTTACCAAGATGTTACCTGGGATGAAAGGTCTCAGTTATAAGGAGATATTAGATAGGCTGAGTTTGTTTTCCTTGGAGCAGAGAAGGTTGAAGGGGATCTGATTAATGTGTGCAAAATTATGAGAGGCATAGACAAGATTGCTCATGAGAATCTTTTCCCTGTGGCAGACATGTCAAAGACAGGAGGGCACAAGTTTAAGGTGAGGAATAATTGCTTTAGAGGAAATCTGAGAAAATATTTTTTGATGCACAGGGTGGTCAAAATATGGAGCACTCTGCCTGAGAGGTTGGTTGAGATAGATACTCTCGTGACATTTAAGAAGCATCTGGATGAGCACTTAAAATGCCAGGGCATAGCAGACTTTGAGCCAAGTGCAGGCCTGTTTCTCTGTCGTATGACTCTATGATGCTAATATTACATTAGTTGAAATGCACATAGGAAGCAAACACACCTGTTTACTTGACTTTAAATTAGTCTTTAAAACATCATATTGTTGAATAATTTCTTGTCCAAGCTGAAAAATTAGTAATTGTACCTACTTTGGAAATACAAGAGTTAAACCATAAGTAACTGATTAGATGGTTTCATGCGCCAGTGACCTTGATTAATATAACTAAACAGTTCAACACAGATATGTCATTTGTTGTCACTGAATTCATATATTCTAGAGAAAGATACTTTGAGATCTGGACGGCAGTTGAGCACCTACACCAGCCTTCTGACAGGACTAGAGATAATTTTGAATATATTGCACTTCTCAATTAGGAATAGGAGTAGGCATTCAAACCTCGTCAGTGAGATCATCATGACTGATCAATATCCTAAATGTGACTATCCTCCTTAGCTTCATACACCATTTACTCTGGCTAGCAGAAATCTGTTGTCTCAAATTTAAAATGATTGATTGAGTTAGCATCCACTGTTGTGGGAGAAAGTTTCATACTTTACCACTCATTATGTGAAAGTTATTTCCTGATTTCTCTTCTCAGTGGTCTGGCTCTGAGAGGATATTTTAATCTTCTGTGCCAATTGATTTTCCAAAAATTTGAGATTTAGTTTTGGTAGCCAACTGCAAGAGAAAAGCTTGCATTCCTAATATTACTCATCACTGCAGATAGTTTGATTCAATTTTTTTCGGATTCCACAAGCTTCCTTCACAAATTAAATTAAATTCAAATAATTGGAACATGCTAACTGTCATGTCTTTTGTGGGTGGTGAATTTAATTGGCAATTGGAAACTAGTAATCCATGTTTTCACTTGAGCATGCACACTTTAAGATTCTGCCAACTTTCTCACAACAGTGCTGCAAGTGGGCAGTTTAAGCAGCTGCTTGTTCACATCATTAATAAACTACATCAATATGGTAGTAGTCCAAGTACTACAATGAGTGCATAAGAGACTCATATGTGGAATCTATAGGTGTGATGCTGGAAAGGCACAGCAGGTCAGACAGCATCCAAGGAGCTGGGAAGTCAAGGTTTTGGGCTGAAACCCTTCGTCAGGACTGGGAGGGGAAGGGGAGCCCAGAAATAAATAGAGGGAGAGGGCTGGGGCTGGGGAAAGGGTAGGAGAGATGGTGATAGGTAGATGCACGTAGGGGTTAATTGTGATTGGTCTGCGGGAAGGATGGAGCGGATAGCTGAGTCGGAAGATGGACATGTTAGGTCAGGTCAGGACTTGAGGGGGCTGGACGTAGATAAGGCTGAGAGTGGAGGGGTTTTGAAGCTGATGAAATCAATGTCAAGGCCATTGGGCTGTATGCTTCCAAGGCAAAATATCAGGTGTTGTTCCTCTGGTTTACATTTGGCCTCACTTTGACAGTCGAGGAGTCCAAGAATGGACGTGTCATCAGGAGAATGGGACGGGGAATTAAAATGGATGGTAACTGGAAGGTCAGGTTGGTTGTTGCGTGCAGAACGCAGATGAGTTTGTGTTTGGTCTCCCCGATATAGAGGAGACCACATCGGGAGCAACAAATGCAATAGATAAGATTGGATGAAGTGCAGGTGAATCTCTGCTGGATCTAGAAGAATTATTGTGGGCCTTGGAGGTGAGAGGGGAGGTGTGGGGCAGGTGCTTACGCCTCTTGCGGTTGCAGGGAAAGGTACCAGATGTGGTGGAGGAATTGGTGGGGAGTGTAGAGCTGACAAGGGAGTCACGAAATGAACGGCCCTGTGGAAAACGGACAGAGCTGGAGAGGGAAATTCGTTTTTGGTGGTGGGGTCTGATTTGTAGATGGCGGAAATGTTGGAGGACGATGCGTTGGATGCAGAAGTTGATGGGATGATATGAGAGGACTAAAGGGACTCTATCCTTATTGCTGTTGGGGGCAGGGGGTCTTTGAGGGCAGAAGTGCGAGAAATGGTTGAGGACATCCTTAATCCTAATTCCTCCACCCGGTACCTTTTCATGTAACCGCAAATGGTACAACACCTCCCGCCATACCTCCCCTCTCACTTCCATCCAAGGCCCAAAACAATCCCGCCAAATCCAGCAGAGATTCACTTGCACTTCATCCAACCTTATGTGTTGCATCCATTGCCCCTGATGTGACCTCCTGTATATCGGGGAGACCAAACCCAGACTCAGGACCGGTTCATGAAGCATCTGCGCTCTGCATGCAATAACTAACCAAACCTTCCAGTTGCTGTCCATTTTAATTCCCCCTCCCACTCCACTGATGACATGTCCATCCCTGGACGACTCCACTGTCAGAGTGAAGCCAAACGTAATCTGGCGGATCAACACCTGATATTTCGCCTTGGAAGCTTACAGCCCAATGGCCTTAACATTGACTTCACCAGATTCAAAGCCCCTCCACCCCGTGACCTGACCTAACCTGTCCATTTTCTTACTCACCTATCCACCCTTCCCGTGGACCAATCACAATAATCCCCTACCTGCAACCACCTATCACCATCTGTTCTACCCTCCCTCTATTTACTTCTGAGTTCCCCTTCCCCTCCCCAGTCCTGACAAAGGGTTTCGGCTCAAAACGTTGACTTGCCTGCTTCTCGGATGCTGTGTGACCTGTTGTGCTTTTCCAGCCTCTCACTTCTAGACTCTGGCTTCCAGCATCTACAGCCCTTATTGTCTCATAATGTGGAATACTTATTTTCTTTGAAATTCAGTATAGAAAACTAGGCCATTTTGCACAAGGAAATGAAAATGACATGCTTCAATTCAGTAACCATAAACGGGCTTACAGTGGTGTATAACAATGGAAATCAATCTGAGAGTTCACTTGCAGTTTGGAGAGTCTTACAATAGTGAGGAACTAACTGCAACTTGAAATTTCTGTGTGTTCATGGTTTGGTTATGCTGAGCTGCTGCCCTGATGGATTAACATTAAGCTACTTTGAAAATCCAGTCTTTTTGTGGAACAGGCATTCAGTTGGATTCTATGAACAAAAGTAATGCATTTGACCCCATCTTTTAAACTTAGATCAAAGCCAGTACCAAGGCAGTCAAATTGGTTGAAGTTCTAGCATGTTGCTGTTCTGCCTGTGAAGTAGGCCTTCTTGAATTTTTAAGCTATTGTCTTTAAGCAAAAATTATTCTGTCTACTTTAAAATGTTGATGATTAAAAAAAAATTCTGTGTTGCAATATTGGAAGAAAATATTTTCTGATTTATATTTCAGAACTTCTACAAAGAAATTGAGAGAGAAGAAATGTACATCCGGTATGCAAAACAAAACCTTCCCAGCACAGTTAACGTTGAACTTGTTGCACATGATTCATTTCCAACATATGAGTAATAAATAAGAGGCATCTGGATTTGGTTGGGGTCTCTCAATTAGTGTCCACAGCTTGCCTTATTTAATGTAAATAAGGCCCAAGGTCAAATTTAAATTGGGAGTTAAACCTGGGGACCAGCACGCAAAGCAATTGCTTCTTTGACCAGTTGCCCATTTTCGTCAAAGTCCAATTTTTCACCTTGTGATTTGTTTTCATCCAGTAACAATTTCTACTGCACTCTGAGGTGATTTCCTGCCAATCACAGAACAATGCAGAGTGGCCAAGTGTAAAAAAAACAGTGTTAGGTTTTTTTCTTCCAAAGATAAAACTATGCTATAACATTTTCTTGGATGCTAGCTCTAAGCATCATAATTGCACAGTGCTGTGTTTGTGCATTACATGCTAGTAAGATATATCCGCATGTGTTCCTACGGCTCTATCATAATGCTTGGGTTTTTTTTTTAACCAATCTTCTCTTCCATTTTCCCCCTTATATCCAATCCTGAACACTTTGGCTTCTTGATGGTACGTCAGTCCATAAATGCTAAACGTCCTGCCATACATGATCCAGTGGTTGCTAATCATTTATGTGCCTTGAAAATACTGAGTGTTGTCAGAAGGCCTTGTTTGAACTTGTGCTCAGTTGAAACTTATACATGCACATTTCAGTAGAGGTTTCTGGATAATAACATGTCTGAAACCCAGAGGTCTCCACACTAATTATCCAGCCGTTATGTAGTTCTAACAATGTAGATTTGTTCAAACTCCAAGGATAGCCTAAGTTATCTGTGATATAAGGATTTTCTTCAGAACATTGTGCAGCATTTCATATTCAATCAAAATTGATAATGTTGTTTCCTTAGGTATTTATATAAGCTGTGTGACCTGCACAAAGAATGTGATAACTACACTGAAGCTGCTTACACATTGCTGCTTAATGCAAAGCTTCTTAAGGTAATATTTTAACTCGAGGTATCAAATTATTTTCCAAGCTTCTACAAGCTGTTGTCATTATGATAATACTTTCATTGAAATCATGAAACCGAACAAACTCTGTAATGGGTCCAGGATGTAAACAGCCTACTTTGCTTTTCTCATTGTAGTTTGTAAAATAGTAATGTGGTCTCACATTCCAAATTCCAAATATATTTCAAAGGTTTGGGATTGCCAATTTGCCACAGGCATTATATTTTAAACATAGCGCTGTTTTAAATAAAAAGATTGGCTTGTATGAAGCAATGTCATTTTCCTCTTAATAGCATGAGATAGAATTTAATCCAGGTCATTGTGCCCATCAGATGAGAGCCCAATGTTGCTTCTGTTGGGGAAAGCATGTCTTATTCAGTGCCATACAGCCCCCACCAGGCCTTTCCAAGAGTGGAAAATCCATCCTCTCAATGCTACTAAGCAGTCAGAGGCTAGGTGCTTTCCATCACAGGTAGCACCAACAGGAGCAGGGACAGCTATCAACAGTGCAACCAAGAGAGGTCCAGGATCAACAAAGGATCCAGGCTCAAAGATGAGTGCTGGAATGATGCGGATCACAGGATGAAGCTCCTCCGGGGTTGGGAGAGAGGACTGTTCCTAGTGCCAAATGAATACCTTTGAACACAGGACTCCCCCTGGAAGCCATAGCGAACCTCCAGCAGATTTGTGTTACAGACAAGGGTGAGAGACAGTCTGCACTCCATTATTATCCTTGCTTTCTGTTTGTCAGGAGTCTTTTTATTATTCACTCGTGACGTGGTGTCGCTGGCTGGCCCAGCATTTGTTGCTTACCTATAGTTGCCCTTGAGAAGGTGGTGGTGAATTGCCTTCTTGAACCACTGCAGTCCATGTGCTGTAGGTAGATCCATAGTGAGAAAAAATTGCTGAGATTCCCAAACCCTTGTTTTGGCAAAGTCAGTTTAAAAATGACCCTCTGAAAACTCTCTTCGAGTTAAACCAGGAGTATTGTTTGTTCACACATTCAAACCCAGAGCAACCTTTGCGATTTGACACAGATAAAAGCACTTAAGAAAGGTAGAAGACACAAAGGAGTTTTATACCTTTGAATGTTCAAACCAAAAGGGTGATTATCATACTTTGTGAATATCTGAGTCCAGTGATGGGGTGAAGGCTGAGATGGACATTTTTAATCTAGAAGGGACTTGAGGGTTGTGGGCAAAAGGCAGAAAAGTGGAGTTGAGGATTATCTGCTCAACGTGATTTCATTGAATGATGGAGCAGACTCAATGAGCTGAATAGCCTACATCTGCTCATGTCGTATTCTCCGGATGACTGAAGACAGGATTTGTAGAATTTCCTCAAAGTCTGAGATGATGCAGTTGAGATGATACTTATAGACAGGAAATTAGTTTACTTTTCAGGCAAATACAAGAATCTTTCTTAAAATGGGTTTCAAACTGTCTAGCAGGCCTAGCTGTTACCCTGAAATTTAATGTTTTCCTGGCTGGTGGAATCAGACTATCTTGTATAGCAAACTGAATCAAGAGTTCAGAAATTCTTTAATTAATGGTCTTCAAACTGCAGAGGAGTAGCTCAGATGAAGCTGTCCAGTGATGAGTTATTTTGATTAACAACAGAGTTCATACCCTCTGGTGAGATTCCATTGAACACTTTAGGATAGATTCTCAGCAGATCTGACAGCACATACGGACAGAGAATCTGAGTCCAATATAAGTTCTGAATAAGAGTCATATTGGATTCAAAACGTTAACTGTGTTTCTGTCTACAAGGATGTTGCCAGACCTGCTGAGTTTCTCCAGCACCTTGTTTATATTTCAGATCTGCAATATATGCAGTGCTTTATTTTAATTTAAATTCCGTTGTGGTGGTCTCAAACTTATTAAAAATGGCTGGTTCAAGGGATCCTGTGTCTATGAATAAACCTTGGAAGGAATCAACATTTTTAGAAGAGGATAAAGGATAGTTAGAATCAAAAAAGGACTCGACATTTTAAAAACAATTTCACAAATATAAAATCATGATTGGACCTTTCCCTTTGTGCGGAGCAATGAGGAAGGTTTTGGGAGGGGAAGAAATCAGATAGGTTAGTACGTGCCTCCTTCGTGCCACCATCCAGGTTAAAGTCTGGGCAAGAAGGTCCATATTCAACTTTCCTGCTCCGCCATGAATTTGAGATCCTTAAGTGGTCAATTAATGACCCAAACCCAGATGGAAAACTTGTAAGTTTGCTTGGAAACGGGTTCTCTTGATCCACATTAACTTGTACTAATTTGAAGTGCTTTAATTATGCAATGTCTGAACCCTTGAATCAGTTTGCTTTTAACATCCAAGCCAATCTCTTCTGAAGAAGAGTAATTGGACTTGAAACATTAACTGTTTCTCACTTCACTGATGCTGGCAAACCTATGGAGTTTCTCTAGCACATTGTTTTTGTTATTGTTTTAAGTGAACTTAATCCTAGCTATGTTAAAGGTCTGCCTACATACGTTTGCCAGCCGGAATTGCTGGATGTCATTTTGGTTCGCATCAGAGAATTACATCTCTAATCTGTGTAGAATCGTAGAAATTTCAGTGTAGAATGTTGCCATTGGGTTAATCCTGGCAATATAAATGCAGGTTCAGCATCAGCTCCAAATCTACCCCCTTTACGAATGGCAACGTGGCACATTGGTTAGCACTGCTGCCTTGCAACATCAGGAACCTGGGTTTGATTCCAGCCTTAGGTGATTGACTGTTTGGAGTTTGCACATTCTCCCCGTTTCTATATAAGTTTCCGCCAGGTGCTCTGGTTGCCTCCCACAGTCCAAAGATGTGCCAGTTGGTTGGATTGACTATGCTAAATTGCCCCGTAGTGTCCAGGGATATGCAGGCTAGGTGGATTAGCCATGGTAAATGCAGGGTTATGGGGATAGGTTAGGGGCTAGGGTCTGGCTGGAATGCTGTTCAGAGCTTCGGTGCAGATGCAGTGGTCAAGATGACCTCTTCCTCACTACAGGGATTCTATCAATCTCATTAGTTCACTCATTTCAGTCCAGTTCATGGCCTGCAGTTGCTGGCAAGTAGATTGAAACTACTGTTTGCAAAATCCAGATTGGAACCATCTTAATCAATCAAGATTGTGGGTGGAATCTTCCCAGCCCCCGAATGCCATGAATTTTGGGGAAATTGAGTGAGATGTCCAGTGGAGACCTTCGTAATATCGAGATCAAAAATTCCCATTTTCCAAATAGGTGTTGGATGACGAGATGAGATTTTCGCTAGTGAACAGCAAGACACTTACTTGCATGGATTTTTGCTTGTTATCACTCTAACTACTAGCTAATCTCAACTCCCAAATATGCAAATTCCCATTTTCTCACCTGCTAGATAAAACTAGACACCTAAAATGCCCAACATGGAAACCAGAGTGATTACGTGGTGACCGCTTGTTCCTCCACGTTTCTATCTTGGACACCCAGGCCAACATCTCAAGGCAGATTTCATGGGCTGCAGTGACAGACATCCCACTTCCAAGGACCTTGACATTGGCATTTGACACATATCAGCCTCACCACATCGTAAGGACATGTCTTAAACCCACTTAGACAATGTTCTGAAGTTCATTGCTACATTTTAGCGTGCACGACCAACTTTCATTTCAATACTGTTGCAAGACTGCTTTGACAACAGAGATGAGCACCCATTTGATGAAATGGACAAGGGAGCATCTCAGGGTTATTGACTCCCACTCTTCTCACTCATTCACTTTGTGTCTATTTTGATGCCCTGGACTTTCCTGCCTTGTGTTGCATTATTCAAGGCATGTTGACTCAGTGGTTAGATCTGCTCCCTCACAGTGCCAGGGATCCAGGTTTGATTTCACCCTCGTGCGACTGTGTGGAGTTTGCACATTCTCCCCATGTCTGCGTGGGTTTCCTCCAGGGGCTCTGGTTTCCTCCCACAGTCCAAAGATGTGCAGGTTAGGTGAATTGCCCATAGTGTCCAGGGATATGAGGGTTAGGTGGATTAGCTGTGGGGGTTGTGGGATTATAGGGATAGGGTAGGGGGTTCGTCTGGATTGAATGCTGTTTGGAAGATTGGTGTGGACTTGATGGGTTGAACGGCCTGCTTACACCTGCTGAAGATGGGGTTCCAATGCTTGGATTGATCTGGGTCAGCTTGCAGTGTAATCTAAACACTGTGTGCCAAATTGTCTTTACCTGCTATGCTGTGCATAATTGAAGCAAGCAAAGAGGGGATGTGATGGAGGTTGAGGAGCAGCAGAGTGGGAACAGTCATCCCAGGAAGATGATGAGAATATTGAGCAGGAGGAATATCGAGCCAGAGAGGACTTAGTTGACACCCAGTTCCAGTAGATGAGAACTGGGTGCGGTGATCATTTATTGACCATAAAATTATTGCTTGAAAGGCAAACAGTCTGTTTCTCTTACAGGAGGCAAATGCAGTTTCTGCTAGTGTGTTTTCTGTTCACTTTTGCTAGTTTGAAGAGTATGATGGTTTTCCTGTATGTGATAGTCCCACATAATGAAATGCTGAATTACAGTGGGCATTTGGGGAAGACCAGCAGGAATTTAGAAAGTGTTATAAGATGAGATGTATCTAAGGACAAGTAAGTTTAGTGGCTTTGTGGTTAAATAGCTATAGGAATGCATGATGAAGGGCAACTTTGGATTGCCAATGTTTGATTAAGTGTGTGGCTGGAGTTACAAAGATGGCACCAGCACCAGTGATCCTGGGATATCCCAGCACTGCTGAATACATCCACCTATGTTGAGTGGGAGAGCCGGGCTTCCATTTGAAGAATGTGGCACCATAGGGCAAGGAATCAAGCTAATGGAGCATGTTTTGAACCCCAACACAAGGACACTCTAAGCCTTGCAGAGGGAAATGTTCCATGAAACTCAATGAAAATTATACTTAGCCACTTTCTGGTAAGATTCAGGCTGTTGTTTTTATATATAGATTTTTCAAAGCTAAATCCATGT